CTGCGCCACAGAGCGGGTGGCAGCAGCAGCTGGGGCACAGCGGGGTCCCTGCCCGGACCCCTGGCTCCAGTTCTCTCCCAGAGCCTGGCTCCAGTGTCCTGTGGCTTCCGCAGCCTGGGAGAAGCCTGGCCAAAGCCCCTTGTGGCACAAGGTCCTTGAGGATTTGGGGACAGGCCTGGGTGGTCCCAGGGGGGTGCAGACCCCCATAGCAGCTGGGTGCCCCTGCCTTGCTCAGCCGAGCCCCTTGCTGGCAGGGGCAGCAGGTTCTGGGGGGGTGGCAGGAGGGGTCCCCGCTACCCTGAAGCGAAGGGCCATGGGGGGCATGTCCCCGCCCCGTTCCAGCTCTCACCCTGCGCCGCAGCTCCCTCGAATGCAGCCTGAAGAGCCATCAAGCACTTGCTCACCATGAAGTGCCAATTCCGGCACCAGCTGCACCGCGGCGCTGGGCCAGGCGCCGGGGGGTGGCTGCACCCGCAGCCCCTGTTCCCTCTGGGGACAGCCGCAGCACCCAGCAGGTCACGGCCACCCCAGGGGGATGCCTTGGCTGCAGGGTGGGGATCCCCATGTGGGCAGGGGGGGCTCCAGGGCAGACCCACAGCACATGGCAGCATCCTGCGGCCACCAGACCCAGCCTGGCCTTGGTGGCAGCCCACATCCCGTGGCAATGATGCGCCACGTCCCCAAGGGGGTCACGGGGATGAGGTGACCCCAAACGCGTGTCGGTTGCCCAGAGCGTGCCACGCTTCGTGCCACCACCCTCCAGCATCCATCGGCTGCAGGAGGGCCCTAGCAGGCAGCAGCCGGCAGCGGGTGCCCACTGCAGGCAGGGGCTGCCGGTTTGCCCTCGGCACCGGGCCCAGTGCCGGCTGTGCCACGGCTGCTGCTTGCCGAACGCTCCCGCTCACCCCGGGCTGCGCTGGAGCCCGCCACCGTTGTACACACAGGCAGCCTCATTAACCTTTCTTGATTAAGGCAATTATTTCCAGCACATTATCCTCTAATCTAAACATCGCGGCTGCACTGCTCCGGGGGGGGGCTGGGGGCGGGAGCCGGCACCCACAGCTGGAGGGGCTGTGTGCTGTGGGGGATGCTGGCAGGGCAGGATGAGGGGGTGTTGCCGGGGTCCCCAGGTGGGGGTCCCCTCCCTGCCCTGCCTTGTCCCAGACCCGCAGGCAGAGGCCTCCCTGCAAAGGGGTGGGATGTAAGGAGGGGCCAGGGAGGGTCCTTGGGATGACCACGGCTCGTGGGAGCCCCCACCCCAGCTGTTCCCCCATGGGGGCAGCCCCCTGTGTCCCCCAGGGGCTAGAGGAGACCCCTGCGTGGGGCTGGGGGCTCTGGCGGGCTGTGGTGCTCGCCCTCCTGGTTGTGTGACTGAGTCCTGCATCCTCGCATGGGATGCCCCATCCCTGCAGGAGGGACCCCCCCAGCCAAGGGAACCAGGGGGAGCTGGGTGGGCTGGCGGGGGCACCCTGGGAGCCGCTGCCTGTGTCAGGGACGATGAATATTTATGGGTGTTAAGGTAGATGTTCTCAGCATCAGTGGGATGGGAGGGGGCTGTTAGTGTGGCCATGCACACCGTCCCCCAGCGCCACGGCTCCTCCGGCACCATCATGTGCCGGGCAAGCTGCCGGTGGCACCGGGAGACGTGGCAGCAGGGAAAGGCCAAAGCTGGTGCCAGGAGCCAAAGCCCAGAGCCTGGGGGTGCTGGGTGACCCCGGCTCCCTGCCTGGCCGTGGGGCTGCCCCATGGGGTCACCTCCCTCCCCTGGGGTCACCGCCGGTGGGAGACCCTTGGCTGCCCCCCTGCCAGCTGCGACGGGTGCTCACGCAATGCACTGGTGGTCTGCTCCTTACCAGGGGACCCCAGCCAGGAGGGAGGGGAGCCCGGGGCTGGGGAGGGGGCTGGGGAGGGTGCTGGGCACGGTGGGGCTGCCTCGGTGGCTCGGGGTGTCAAGGGACAGCCTGGGAGCAGGGTTTGGGCTGGGCTGGGGAATGGGGTCCGGAGCCATGGGGACACGAGAGGTGACAGAGCAGGGACCTTCCCAGGAGCCAGGCAGTGGCTCCCTAAGGAAAACGGGTGCCAACGCACGGGTGGGCAGGGCTGGGTGGGTGTGCGTGTCCCCACCCCGTGTTCTCATCCCTACTGCGTGTGCATGTCCCCATGGTGTGTGCCATGTGTGTGTCCCCGCCATGTGTGCATGTCCCTGCCACATGTATGGTCACATCCAAGTGTGGGACCCCCCCAAGGCAGTTCTGTGCCCCCCCTTGCTCGTGCCCAGGACATGCTGCCAGGCTCAGCCATCGCAGCAGAGCCCTGCCATCCCCTGTTGCCAGATGCCGCCGTGTTGGCGAAACCCTCCTGGCAGGGCTGGAGCAGCCGTGCCGGCCGGGGACCCCCACAGTCGGGGGTGATGCTCTTTCCTCTGGGGCTCTGCAGGCGGCAGGGGCTGGGATTTTGGGGTTCCCCCCCACCTCCCCATGCTGGGTCCCAGGAGAAGCACACCCCCCTACCCAACCTGCTCTGCCCAGGGTGCCTGGGTAGGGGATGGGCCACCATTTTAGGTGCCCCTGCCTCCCTAGAGCCCCCCCAAGCCAACCCTGCCAATGCGCCCAGCAATGCTCTTGGAGGGGAGGGCTATGCCCCCGGTGCACCCTGGTTTTGGGGTCTTGGGCAGTGCTGCTGCAGGCACTGACCGGTGCCCCCTCCCGTGGGTACAACACCTCTGGGGGGGGGTCCCCACCTGTAGGCTTTGGAGCAGGCTGGGGAGGGAGGGATCCATCAGGACCGCAGTTTCAGCTGGGGTAGGCTGGCCCTGGCCGTGGGGGGGGTCCGCGCTCCCCATTCAGCCCCACAGCAGTACCAGTGGGCGTCTGTTCGCTCCCCTGGCATGCAGTGAGCTGCAAGGTCTCAGCTGCCTTCGAGGGGGTCCTCGCACACGTGCTGCCCACGCAGGCAGGCCTGGGTGGTAGCGGCGGGGGGCACGGAGACCCCCCAGTCCTGCCCGGTCTGGGGTTGCTGAGGGGCTGAGGTGGGGGACATGACCCCACGTCCCCCGGGAGTCTGACCCCACAGGGCGTGGGGGCAAGGGCAGCTTCCCGGCGAGTCCCGTGGGTCCGGCGTGGGAGGGAGCACTGCGCCCGCCTTTCCGGGACTCTGGCAATGGGAACAAGCTGGGGGGCCAAGCCGGGGCTGAATGCTTCCAGCTG